TGGCCACCAGGGGGCGCCAGGGTTGACCTGAGGTGCCTTAGCCCCTCAAGCAGACTCTTCTGTTTGCAGCACAGTGGGGACGGGGCCACAGCCCATGAAACCCAAACGGTGGCTTCACAACAGAGAGTTTCACCTAACGCACAGTGAGCTTCACACGAAGGAAAGGACCATCGTGGACGTGAGAGAGAAAGGTGGCACGGAGAGCCCAGGCTGTGAGCACAGCGACCCAGAGAGATGAGCCCAGGATGTGGTTTCAGACCACACTGGCGTGTGGGGTTACAACAGCCTCCGAGGCAAAGACGTGAGAGGAGGCGTTGGGGTTAAAATAACTCCCCTCTGTTGAAAGGAGACGACGCTTTACCCACCGAAGGAAGCCACAAGGAGCGCTGCGTTGGGCAGGGACCCTAGGAAGGAAACCCCAGCCCGTGCACATGCAGCTCTGACGTCTACGCCGTCCTGCCCGCTGGCACAGGTCATCCTGAGCCGAGAGCTGAACCTAACAGCCGCCCCCCCCCCCCCCCAACACACCCAGAACCGTGCCTGATGCAACCACTGAGGCTCCTGGCGTAAGTGCAAAACCACTCTCCAAGCTTCCGAGTAACCAAGTATCACAGACCACACGAGGAACCATCCACCACGTGAGAGATCCAACAAACAACCAATAAGAGGGCAGGCCCCCCAAAGAACAGCCCTTTAGAAGGAACCACAGGGGAGCACAGAGCACAGTGTGGGGGCATCAGCACTGCCACTTACTGACCGTCCTTCTGTGTGTAAATAGGCGCAGAGCAGTGCTCCTGGCACAGGGTTGGCATGAGCACGGGCGAGTATGAAGTGGCCGTCCTGGGAGGTGGCCTTGGCCAGGGAGGCGGGGACTTGCGTGGAGAACCGGAAGTCCAGCGTGCAGGCGGCCCGCAGGCGGGGCCCCAGGTGGGGAGGAAGGAGGCGTCTGAGAACATCTTGTGGATGAAGTGACCCTGGAGAAGGCCGGGTGAGGCCTGGACCCCTCTCCTGCCCTTTCCCAGGTGGCCCTGCTGGGCCTAGAGCCAGCTTCCGGAAGCCGAAAAGGAGCCTCGGAAAGCTGCCAGCCCCGAGTTCAGATGGGGAAGCGGAGGGAGAGCTGCACTCACAACTAGAGGCTCCTCCCAGCTGGCCTTTCATTCATTCAACAGGAATCTCCCGAGTGCCTGCTGTGTCCCAGCCACTGTGTGGGGTGAGCCAGACGGACGTGGTGCCAACCCTCACAGGCTTATCTCCCAGGGAAGACATCGGTCAGAACATCTGGTGCCCTGCTTCCTCCCTGCCCTGGCTGCCCGCCCGCCCCGCACCTGCAGGGGGCATCAAAGGGGCCCAGAGACGTGTACTTACTCACACTCCCCTTGGGGATAGGGAGCAGTCAGGGGCATCCGTTTACATGCTGTCAGAGTCACAGGCTGCAGCGTCCCCCACCACCACAAGAGGGCGGCCTTGGCCTCCAGGCAGTGCCCACCTGTGGCCCAGGGCCAGCCCAGAGCTTGGCCAGTTCTGGGCTCCTTCACCCCCACAAACATGCCAGATTGAGCCGCCTTTGGTGCCCTTAGAACCCTCTGTCAGCAGGGCCTTCCCTCTCTGCTGAGACCAATGCCGGGAGTCTGGCCTCCCTGCTTCCCCACAGGGAGCAGGAAACATATTTAGCTGTGTGTTGATCTGAAGGTCAACGGAGGAGTTGACCTCACAGTCGACAGACTGATGATCAACGCTCAACCTGCAAAGAGTCAAGGATCCGGGACCTTCGTCCTGCCCTCGGCCCAGAGAGGGGCCAGGGAGAGGCCCGTCAGCAGAGTGGGGACGCTTACCAGCAGGCGCCCCAGGGCCTCCTTGGAGATGACAGACATGTTCTGCATGGAGACAGCCATGGACTTGTCTTCCACCCACTCCTCCTGGCGGCTGGCGATGGACAGGTGGCTGATCGGGATGCGGGGAGAACCAGTGGAGTAAGGCAGGCATCGTGGGGCCTTTGCACAGGAGAGGATGCCCCGTCCTTGGGGGGCGGTCACTCTTCTCCTTGAGCTCCTGTGACTTCCATCCTGTGATGCACGGTTAGCCGTTATTAATTCATCTTAGGTTAAATGATAAGAAAGAAAATAAAAATATTTGCTTTCAATATTTGTATATAAGCATGCATGCTTGTGTATGACTATGCAAGCGTGCATAACCAACAAGGAAGAAATATGCATGATAATTACAGCCCTCAGTTCTGCAACCGGTCACATGGTTGCTGGGTTTTAGAGCTGTCATCTTCCACTACCCAGCCCAGGCCCTCAGCAAACACCTCAGCCGGTCATGCCTGGTTCCCTACCTGGTGGGATGACCCCAGCCTTCATTCCTGAGAAGTCTGGGCCCAGTCACCCTGTCTTAATTGGCTTCTTGTAGTTTCCCAGTGACTTTAATCACAGGATATGGTAGTGCTAAGTGACATCCTATGGGATTCCTCATTTTCACCCCAGCCAATGATGATGGGCTGCCTCCTGCACACCCCCCCAACTGGGGATCGAGCCCACAACACGGGCATTTGCCCTGACTGGGAATTGAACCATGACCACCTGTTCATAGGTTGACACAACCACTGAGCCACGCCGGTTGGGCTAGGTGGCAGTCTTAGCTTCCAGTTCACTGGAATCGTTGTGTCGCGGTTAAATCATTTCTCCCTGCTGTGGACTGAATTTGTGTTCCGAAAACTCATGTCCATCCAGAACCTCGGAATGTGACCGTACTTGGAAATGAAATATCAGCGGATGTAAATCAAGTGACTGGAGTCTTATAAGAAGGTCATGTGAAGACACAGGGAAGAAGGCCAGTGAAATGGGGCAGGCACTGCAGTGATACTGTACAAGCCAAGGCAGGCCCAGGACTGCTGGCGGCGGCGGCAGCAGCAGCCGCTAAGTGTGTGAGCATCCAGTCGTGCTCCGAGACCCCTCTGTCTTCCGTGCGGGCCAAAGAGGAGAGCTGAATGGAGACTGGGAATCCCCACCCCTGCACCTTTCAAGCTCTTGTTGGTGACGCTCTCTCTGCAATCCCTCCAGGGATGTGGCATTGCTTTCGATTGACCATTTCCTACGTAGAGGCAGTTCTAGTGACTTCCACGTGGCCTTCTATGCCCTGACACCCCTCACCCCAGAGGTCAAGGAACCAATGTGGGGAGTCTGCCAGTTGCTGGGGACACACCTACCTCTAAGGATGTGTTCAGGGACCCACTGGACGCACTGTGAGATCGACCTGAGCTAAAATGCCATTGATCACCTGACCTCCACAGGTTTCCACCCCGACCGGGGACCACAGTGATGCTTTGGGTCTCCTAGATTTCATGTCAATTTAGAGCCAGTGTCGAGTAATCCTGAACGTCTGGTCATTTCCTTTTCCCAGAGCAGTCCCCCGGGGGAAGGCTGGGAGACACCTTACAGCAGTGGTTCTCAACCTTCCTGATGCCGCGACCCTTTCATACAGTTCCTCATGTTGTGGTGACCCCCAACCATAAAATTATTTTCGTTGCTACTTCATAACTGTAATTTTGCTACTGTTATGAATCATCATGTAAATATCTGATATGCAGGATGTATTTTCATTGTTACAAATTGAACATAATTAAAGCATAGTGATTCATCACAAAAACAACATGTAATTATATATGTGTTTTCCCATGGTCTTAAGCGACCCCTGTGAAAGGGTCGTTCGACCCCCAAAGGGGTCGCGACCCACAGGTTGAGAACCGGGGCATTATAGCATATGTTTGTTTTCAGTGTTGCAGGGCCCTTCCTCAGGGGGACCCAGCCCCCTTCATTCAAGGGGTTCTGAGTCTGTAAACTGGCTTAAGCCTGGGCGTTGATGGAGGGGGCCATAATTCTGTTTTGGTGATTCAAGAGACTTGCATTCACTCGACCTAGGACTCTTCTGCTTATCCCCATCAAATAGGAATTGAGTAGAAAATCCACTTCTTTCTTCCCAAGGCAATACCACGACCAACTCGCCAAAGCTGAAGCTCTCTGCAAGTCAAACCATCTGACCTCCGTGTTGCCTCTGCTGCCCATGATGCTAAGCACAGCCAGCTTGTCTTTGATGGTTAAGGGCCACCACTTGGTCCCTGCCACTCTGGAACTGTTACCCCCATTGTATTTAGGGATACCAGTCAAGTGGCACTATTTCCCACTGTCATTTCTGACCTATAGCGATGAGTGACCCAGAGCTCTGCAGTGAGGCGGGGCTCCCCCTCCCTAATTTACTTCTCAATCGTGATGAAAGTTGTGTCTTCTGGACCCTGGCAGGGTGGGTGAGCAGATCTCACATGCTACATCCATTCTAACATTCCGGTCTCCCTCAGTAAGCCTTTACATGTCTTCCTCTAGTGTCCCAAGGCAGTTCCTGCACGTCACCTTCATTCAGTGTAGATAGACCACCATTTAAAAATACATATACATATACATATACATATTCATATACATATACATATACATATACATATACATATACATATACATATACATATATTGATTTCAGAGAGGAAGGGAGAGGGGGAGATAGAAATATCAATGATGAGAGAGAATAATCATTGATCGGCCGCCTCCTGCACACCCCCGACCAGGGATTGAGCCCACAACCCGGGCAAGTGCCCTGACCAGGAATTGAACCATGACCTCCTGGTTCATAGGTCGACGCTCAACCACTGAGCCAGGCCAGCCGGGCAGATAGACCACCTTGTCATCTGTCTCAGCCAACCACCGAGCACAGTGTTCCAGTTCTTTCTAACTCCTCATGCTTAGTCCATCATTCCAGAACCTCTGCTCCCTGGGCCTGTACGAACACGTTCAGACTGATCTTTCTGTTCCTTCCACCAGCACCCCACACCCTCCTATCCATTCCCATGCACACCCCGATTTTTGTCTGGATGAACTTGAAAAACCACGTTGTTCTTTTGGTGTCCCTGTGTGGTACAACTCCTCGCACCTCACCCTTGGAGGCCTGCTGGGACTCCAGTCGGGTTATAGGACTAGAAACCAAGAGGGGTGGGGTGGGAGTAGGTCCTGAGAAGAATTAGTGTCGAGGTAGGTACCGGGGGAGCCGGTTACAGTTCTTCATACACAGGGTCAATTAACTTCCTTAGAAACAGGTATCAAGGCTGCTCCTAGGACACAGACTCCCAGAAGCTCTCCCTTGTCAGGCTGTAGACAGGTGTGGCTTCTCGCCTCCCTTTTGGCTACAGACAGAATATTTATCTCCGTGGTTATTACGTAAAATGTCATTCTAACCAAGTACCTGCTTCCTACTTAGAATGCCAGCTGAGGTACTGCTAGTAACTGACTGCATTTTCCCGGGGCCCCTCACAGGAAGGAGGCTGCGGACCCGGCCACACCCCCTTTAGGCCCATCACGCATATTAAAGACCCGAAGACACAGGGAAGAAGCCGGTGAACTTGGCTGAACCTGAGGTCCCCAAATGACCATGAGCTCATTTGGGGGAGTGTTTCTTCTGTAGAACTAAGATTAAAACCAACAAACATCTTGGAAGCTGCAAACTTAATCAGCTGCTACGTTGGCCTGAGCTGAAATTTGGGAGTTTTTGGTTCATTCTTAGCTATTTAATTGCTACTTAATAATGAAGATCCAGCCCTGAGCGGAGTGGCTCAGTTGGCTAGAGCTCTGGAAGGTTGCTGGTTCAATTCCTGGTCAGGGCACACACCCAGGTTGTGGGTTTGAGCCCTGGTCAGGGTATACAGGCAACCGTCAATGTTTCTCTCTCTCTCTTCCTCAATAAGTAAAAAATATATTATTTTAAAGTAGCTTTACCTATGAAAAATAATGAAGATCGAAACCAATCATTTTCTAAGTATTAATAGAACGTAGTGCCTTATTAGACGACATTTAGTGACTGTTGAGGAAGATTGACATTTCTGCCACGTCCCCCACCTGTCAGCTGTCTTAAGCCTTAATTGTGGCCTGAATGTTTCCCCCCGTCCTAGTGGGGCTGGGGCCAATCTGAACACTTGTCAGCTGTTCCCAGAAGCACCTTCCTGGGACTATTTTGGGTCCATGGAATCTGGAGTTTAATCCTCACAACCTGACACCACAGGGAGAGGCCCCACCCCTTTAGCAAGAAGAAATGGTGCCACCATGGTCTCGGGTTCCAGGCCCCTCACAAAACGGTGATGCCCCTCCTTTGAAATGAATTTCTTTTCCATCCAAGACTTAAAAGGGGGCTTGGCGTGGCATGAGGCCTGGAGCTGTGCTGTTGCTAAGGGAAGGAAGGAATTCTGTCCTCCTCATTCTGAGTGGGCGAGAGGAGAGTGTGTACAACTGCCGAGAGGAAGATACCTAACGCCACCGTGAGGTTTGGGGAATGAAACCTGGATGGGTTTCTATGTCAGCCAGTACCACTTAAATCCGGGAATGTGGGCAAACACAAGTATATTCTTAGTAAATTAAGACTTTCATGGCCTGACGTTATCATTTTTCATCAGTGCCAATAGTCCTTTTATAAAAAGCAGCAAAACATTCAGGTTACTTAAAAAGTCAGGATCTCAACTGTTGACCCTCCAGTGGCCCCGGGCACGGAGTGAACGGCTAAGACTCTGCCAGGATCAGTCATAGCAAAACTTTATTGAACAGAAAACCCAGCAAAGGTTCCCACCTCTGCACAGTTGCCCGTGGTTTGAAGGAAAGCAATGCATTTAAAAAGCAATTATACAGAAGTCTCTCCTAGAAAAGTCCTGCTAAAACATGTCTAGCAATTCATTGATTATATAAAGTAGTACACTTAGTGTAATTTAAACATTCCAACAGGAATCAAATCGCACCAGCAGAACCATTTCTGCCTCTATGACATCTATGTACAAACACACATGCAGACACACGTATCTGGGAAAGGTCCTCAGGCATAAACATGCGACACACACCTTCTATGTACAGTGCCTATAAACTACAGACAATAGGTAGTAAAGCTCTTCAGAATAAAGACATGAGAAGCCTTGGGCATTTTTTGTTCATCAATTTGTATCATGGCTTCACGTCTTACTTTCTGCTTTTGCTTGATCACAAAAGCATCTCCTCCTCCTTGTTGGTTCTTTACCAATTCTGTGCCATCGCCGCGTCCAGGTGAGGAAATCTAGCTGGATCCACG